GTTATTATTTTTATTTTATTTCCATTCTATGTGTCTTTACCGAAAGAACCAAGAAGACGTTTCCACATGTCAAACATACTCGTGTTTCCAGTGAATCCAAGTCTCCTACCCCACACACAAGATAGAGACAAAGATCCCCCGTGTAGCCTGTGAGACTGGAGGGGGCAAGTGCTGTTAGCGGCACCTTTGTCTCCCCACTGGCGATGTTCACACACCGCACCAGTTACTCGTTTGAGGCCGAGTCGACCTAGGAGAGGCCCAGGACCGGTTCAAATAATCGTCACCGGTGGTGGCCGTGAGCGGGAATCGAACTCGGGTCGCCGGGTTCGTAGCGCAGCGCGCTAACCGCTACACTACAATGCGTTACGCTTACACACACACACAGATATACACACAAAGATACACACACAGAGACACACAGACACACACACATACAGACACACACACATACACAGCGCGCTAACCACTACACTACAATGCGTTACGCTTCCACGTGCGAGGGGTCACGTGACAGGTTTCACGTCACAGCTCACTTGGCGTGCAAAAAAATCTCTGCATTATTGAGCTTCCCTCCACCAGAAAATACAAAAGTGTACTTTCATAATTTTTGCATGGTGTACAGTCCGGAAAGTACCCACATGGCAAATTTCAAGTTTTGTTGCATGTCGGGAAGTACGCTAAACATTTTGAACAGACACACATAATCACAACTTTGCCTTTTATATACATGGAGATATGCGTGTAGAAAGTATCTGTACAGTACTATGTGTAGACTGTCATGTATAGACTGTATGTGTACAGACTGTACTGTGTGTAAACTACGTGTGCTGTGTCGACTATCTCTGCGTACTGTACAGTACAGTGTGTAAGACTATCAATGTGTACTCTGTTTCTATTGTATTGTTTACTGTGCGAAGCCTACTCTCTATGTAAAGTGTGTGCGGACTGTTCCTCTGTATATCTTGCATCTCTGTGCACTGTGTGTGTACTATCCCTGTGTACTGTGTGTACTATCTGTGTGCACTGTGTGTGTACTATCCTTGTGTACTGTGTGTACTATCTCTGTGTACTGTGTGTGTACTATCTGTGTGTGTACTGTGTGTGTACTATCTGTGCACTGTGTGTATACTATCTGTGTGCACTGTGTGTGCACTGTGTGTGTACTATCCCTGTGTACTGTGTGTACTATCTCTGTGTACTGTGTGTGTACTATCTGTGTGTGTACTGTGTGTGTACTATCTGTGCACTGCGTGTATACTATCTGTGTGTACTGTGTGTGAACTATCTCTGTGTACTGCGTGTGTACTATCTGTGTGCACTGCGTGTGTACTATCTGTGTGCACTGCGTGTGTACTATCTCTGTGTACTGCGTGTACTATCTGTGTGTACTGTGTGTGTACTATCTGTGCACTGTGTGTATCCTATCTGTGTGTACTGTGTGTGTACTATCTGTGTACTGTGTGTATACTATCTGTGTGCACTGTGTGTGCACTGTGTGTGTACTATCCCTGTGTACTGTGTGTACTATCTCTGTGCACTGCGTGTATACTATCTGTGTGTGTACTGTGTGTGTACTATCTGTGCACTGCGTGTATACTATCTGTGTGTACTGTGTGTGAACTATCTCTGTGTACTGCGTGTGTACTATCTGTGTGCACTGCGTGTGTACTATCTGTGTGCACTGCGTGTGTACTATCTCTGTGTACTGCGTGTACTATCTGTGTGTACTGTGTGTGTACTATCTCTGTGTACTGCGTGTGTACTATCTCTGTGTACTGCGTGTGTACTATCTCTGTGTACTGAGTGTATACTATCTGTATGTGTACTGCGTGTGTACTATCTGTATGTGTACTGCGTGTGTACTATCTGTGTGTACTGTGTGTGTACTATCTCTGTGCACTTTGTGTACTATCTCTGTGTACTGCGTGTGTACTATCTCTGTGTACTGAGTGTATACTATCTGTATGTGTACTGCGTGTGTACTATCTGTATGTGTACTGCGTGTGTACTATCTGTGTGTACTGTGTGTACTATCTCTGTGTACTGTGTGTGTACTATCTCTGTGTACTGCGTGTGTACTATCTCTGTGTACTGAGTGTATACTATCTGTATGTGTACTGCGTGTGTACTATCTGTATGTGTACTGCGTGTGTACTATCTGTGTGTACTGTGTGTGTACTATCTCTGTGCACTGTGTGTACTATCTCTGTGTACTGCGTGTGTACTATCTCTGTGTACTGCGTGTATACTATGTGTACTGTGTGTACTATCTGTGTACTGTGTGTGTACTATCTCTGTGTACTGTGTGTACTATCTCTGTGTACTGCGTGTATACTATCTGTGTGCACTGTGTGTGTACTATCTGTGTGTACTATCTCTGTGTACTGCGTGTGTACTATCTCTGTGTACTGAGTGTATACTATCTGTATGTGTACTGCGTGTGTACTATCTGTATGTGTACTGCGTGTGTACAATCTGTATGTGTACTGCGTGTATACTATGTGTACTGTGTGTACTATCTGTGTACTGTGTGTGTACTATCTCTGTGTACTGTGTGTGTACTATCTCTGTGTACTGTGTGTGTACTATCTCTGTGTACTGCGTGTATACTATCTGTGTGCACTGTGTGTGTACTATCTGTGTGTACTATCTCTGTGTATTGCGTGTGTACTATCTCTGTGTACTGAGTGTATACTATCTGTATGTGTACTGCGTGTGTACAATCTGTATGTGTACTGCGTGTATACTATGTGTACTGTGTGTACTATCTGTGTACTGTGTGTGTACTATCTCTGTGTACTGTGTGTGTACTATCTCTGTGTACTGTGTGTGTACTATCTCTGTGTACTGCGTGTATACTATCTGTGTGCACTGTGTGTGTACTATCTGTGTGTACTATCTCTGTGTACTGCGTGTGTACTATCTCTGTGTACTGAGTGTATACTATCTGTATGTGTACTGCGTGTGTACTATCTGTATGTGTACTGCGTGTGTACAATCTGTATGTGTACTGCGTGTATACTATGTGTACTGTGTGTACTATCTCTGTGTACTGCGTGTGTACTATCTCTGTGTACTGAGTGTATACTATCTCTGTGTACTGCGTGTGTACTATCTATATGCACTGTGTGTGTACTATCTCTGTGTACTGTGTGTGTACTATCTGTGTACTGCGTGTGTACTATCTCTGTGTGTACTGTGTGTATACTATGTGTACTGTGTGTGTACTGTGTGTGTACTATCTCTGTGTACTGCGTGTGTACTATCTCTGTGTACTGTGTGTATACGATCTGTATGTACTGTGTGTGTACTATATCCGTGTACTGCGTGTATACTGTGTACTGTGTGTGTACTATCTGTGTGTGTACTGCGTGTATACTATGTGTACGGTGTGTGTACTGTGTGTGTACTATATCTGTGTACTGTGTGTACTGTGTGTGTACTGTGTATACTATGTGTACTGTGTGTGTACACTATCTGTGTGTGTACTGTGTGTACACTATCTGTGTGTGTACTGTGTGTACACTATCTGTGTGTATACTGTGTGTGTACTGTGTGTACACTATCTGTGTGTATACTGTGTGTGTACTGTGTGTGTACACTAACTGTGTGTACTGTGTGTATACTGTGTGTGTACTGTGTGTACACTATCTGTGTGTGTACTGTGTGTGTACACTATCTGTGTGTGTACTGTGTGTGTACACTATCAGTGTGTATACTGTGTGTACTGTGTGTGTACACTATCTGTGTGTGTACTGTGTGTACACTATCTGTGTGTGTACTGTGTATACTATGTGTACTGTGTGTGTACACTATCTGTGTGTATACTGTGTGTGTACTGTGTGTACACTATCTGTGTGTATACTGTGTGTGTACTGTGTGTGTACACTATCTGTGTGTGTACTGTGTGTATAGTATCTGTGTGTGTACTGTGTGTATACTGTGTGTGTACTGTGTGTACACTATCTGTGTGTGTACTGTGTGTGTACACTATCTGTGTGTGTACTGTGTGTGTACACTATCTGTGTGTGTACTGTGTGTGTACACTATCTGTGTGTGTACTGTGTGTACACTATCTGTGTGTATACTGTGTGTACTGTGTGTGTACACTATCTGTGTGTGTACTGTGTGTACACTATCTGTGTGTGTACTGTGTATACTATGTGTACTGTGTGTGTACACTATCTGTGTGTATACTGTGTGTGTACTGTGTGTACACTATCTGTGTGTATACTGTGTGTGTACACTATCTGTGTGTGTACTGTGTGTATAGTATCTGTGTGTGTACTGTGTGTATACTGTGTGTGTACTGTGTGTACACTATCTGTGTGTGTACTGTGTGTGTACACTATCTGTGCGTGTACTGTGTGTATACACTATCTGTGTGTGTACTGTGTGTGTACACTATCTGTGTGTGTACTGTGTGTGTACACTATCTGTGTGTGTACTGTGTGTGTACACTATCTGTGTGTCTACTGTGTGTGTACACTATCTGTGTGTATACTGTGTGTACTGTGTGTGTACACTATCTGTGTGTGTACTGTGTGTGTGTACACTATCTGTGTGTGTACTGTGTGTGTACACTATCTGTGTGTGTACTGTGTGTGTACTGTGTGTACACTATCTGTGTGTGTACTGTGTATACTGTGTGTACTGTGTGTATACTGTGTGTGTACACTGTGTGCACTGTGTGTGTACTGTGTGTGGTACACTATCTGTGTGTGTACTGTGTGTATACTATGTGTACGGTGTGTGTACACTATGTGTGTGTACTGTGTGTGTACACTATCTGTGTGTACTGTGTGTACACTGTGTGTGTACTGTGTGTACACTGTGTGTGTACTGTGTGTGTACACTATCTGTGTGTGTACTGTGTGTGTACACTATCTGTGTGTGTACTGTGTACACTGTGTGTGTACACTATCTGTGTGTGTACTGTGTGTGTACACTATCTGTGTGTGTACTGTGTACACTGTGTGTATACTGGATGTGGTACACACGCGTAGCTGGCCGAGTGAAGGAGTCGCGCCATGCAGACGGAGAAGGCCGCGGGATCCCCGCTCGCCATGGCGCGCGCCGCACTTCCGGGTGCTCGCGTCAGCGGCAACTCGCAACTCACTCACTGTGGTCACTGGCAACACAACTCACTCTCACTGTGGTCACTGGCAACACAACTCACTCTCACTGTGGTCACTGGCAACACAACTCACTCTCACTGTGGTCACTGGCAACACAACTCACTCTCACTGTGGTCACTGGCAACACAACTCACTCTCACTGTGGTCACTGGCAACACAACTCACTCTCACTGGGGTCACTCTGGCAACACACATCACTCACTGTGGTCACTGGCAACACAACTCACTCTCACTGTGGTCACTGGCAACACAGCTCACTCTCACTGTGGTCACTGGCAACACAGCTCACTCTCACTGTGGTCACTGGCAACACAACTCTCTCTCACTGTCGTCACTGGCAACGCAACTCACTCTCACTGTGGTCACTCTGGCAACACAACTCAATCACTGTGGTCACTGGCAACACAACTCACTCTCACTGTGGTCACTGGGAACACAACTCACTCTCACTCTGGTCACTGGTAACACAACTCACTCTCAGTGTGGTAACTGTCAACACATCTCACTCACTGTGGTCACTGGCATCTCATCTCACACACTGTGTTAACTGGCAACACAACTCACACTCACTGTGGTCACTCTGGCAACACAACTCACTCACTGTGGTCACTGGCAACACAACTCACTCTCACTGTGGTCACTGGCAACGCAACTCACTCACTGTGGTCACTGGCAACACAGCTCACTCTCACTGTGGTCACTGGCAACACAACTCACTCTCACTGTGGTCACTGGCAACACAACTCACTCTCACTGTGGTCACTGGCAACACAACTCACTCTCACTGTGGTCACTGGCAACACAACTCACTCTCACTGGGGTCACTCTGGCAACACAAATCACTCACTGTGGTCACTGGCAACACAACTCACTCTCACTGTGGTCACTGGCAACACAGCTCACTCTCACTGTGGTCACTGGCAACACAACTCTCTCTCACTGTCGTCACTGGCAACGCAACTCACTCTCACTGTGGTCACTCTGGCAACACAACTCAATCACTGTGGTCACTGGCAACACAACTTACTCTCACTGTGGTCACTGGGAACACAACTCACTCTCACTCTGGTCACTGGTAACACAACTCACTCTCAGTGTGGTAACTGTCAACACAACTCACTCTCACTGTGGTCACTGGCAACACAACTCTTACTGTGGTCACTGGAAACACAACACACTCACTGTGGTCACTGGCATCTCATCTCACACACTGTGTTAACTGGCAACACAACTCACACTCACTGTGGTCACTCTGGCAACACAACTCACTCACTGTGGTCACTGCAACACAACTCACTCTCACTGTGGTCACTGGCAACGCAACTCACTCTCACTGTGGTCATTCTGGCAACACAACTCACTCTCTCTGTCGTCACTCTGGTAACACAACTCACTCTCACTGTGGTCAATCGCAACACAACTCACTGTTGTCACTGGCAACACAACTCACTCTCAGTGTGGTCACTGTCAACACAACTCACTCTCACTGTGGTTACTGGCAACTCAACTCACACAGTGGTAACTGGCAACACAACTCACTCTCACTGTGGTCACTCTGGCAACACAACTCACTCTCACTGTGGTCACTGGCAACACAACTCTCTCTCACTGTCGTCACTGGCAACGCAACTCACTCTCACTGTGGTCACTCTGGCAACACAACTCACTCACTGTGGTCACTGGCAACACAACTCACTCTCACTGTGGTCACTGGCAACACAACTCACTCTCACTCTGGTCACTGGCAACACAACTCACTCTCAGTGTGATAACTGTCAACACAACTCACTTTCACTGTGGTCACTGGCAACACAACTCTTACTGTGGTCACTGGAAACACAACACACTCACTGTGGTCACTGGCAACACATCTCACTCACTGTGGTCACTGGCCTCTCATCTCACACACTGTGTTAACTGGCAACACAACTCACTCTCACTGTGGTCACTCTGGCAACACAACTCACTCACTGTTGTCACTGCAACACAACTCACTCTCACTGTGGTCACTGCCAACGCAACTCACTCTCACTGTGGTCACTGGCAACACAACTCTTACTGTGGTCACTGGAAACACAACACACTCACTGTGGTCACTGGCAACACATCTCACTCACTGTGGTCACTGGCAACTCTTCTCACACACTGTGTTAACTGGCAAAACAACTCACTCTCAGTGTGGCCACTGTTAACACAACTCGCTCTCACTGTGGTCACTGGCAACACCACACAGTCACTGTGGTCACTGGCAACACAACTCACTCTCACTGTGGTCACTGGCAACGCAACTCACTCTCACTGTGGTCACTCTGGCAACACAACTCACTCACTGTGGTCACTGGCAACACAACTCACTTTCACTCTGGTCACTGGCAACACAACTCACTCTCAGTGTGGTCACTGGCAACACAACATAGTCACTGTGGTCACTGGCAACACAACTCACTCTCACTGTGGTCACTGGCAACGCAACTCACTCTCACTGTGGTCACTCTGGCAACACAACTCACTCACTGTGGTCACTGGCAACACAACTCACTCTCACTGTGGTCACTGGCAACACAACTCACTCTCAGTGTGGTCACTGTCAACACAACTCACTCTCACTGTGGTAACTGGCAACTCAACTCACACAGTGGTGACTGGCAACACAACTCACTCTCACTGTGGTCACTCTGGCAACACAACTCACTCTCACTGTAGTCACTGGCAACAAAACTCACTCTCACTGTGGTCTCTGGCAACGCAACTCACTCTCACTGTGGTCACTCTGGCAACACAAATCACTCACTGTGGTCACTGGCAACACAACTCACTCTCACTGTGGTCACTGGCAACACAGCTCACTCTCACTGTGGTCACTGGCAACACAACTCTCTCTCACTGTCGTCACTGGCAACGCAACTCACTCTCACTGTGGTCACTCTGGCAACACAACTCAATCACTGTGGTCACTGGCAACACAACTCACTCTCACTGTGGTCACTGGGAACACAACTCACTCTCACTCTGGTCACTGGTAACACAACTCACTCTCAGTGTGGTAACTGTCAACACAACTCACTCTCACTGTGGTCACTGGCAACACAACTCTTACTGTGGTCACTGGAAACACAACACACTCACTGTGGTCACTGGCAACACATCTCACTCACTGTGGTCACTGGCATCTCATCTCACACACTGTGTTAACTGGCAACACAACTCACTCTCACTGTGGTCACTCTGGCAACACAACTCACTCACTGTGGTCACTGCAACACAACTCACTCTCACTATGGTCACTGGCAACGCAACTCACTCTCACTGTGGTCATTCTGGCAACACAACTCACTCACTGTGGTCACTGGCAACACAACTCACTCTCACTGTGGTCACTGGCAACACAACTCACTCTCTCTGTGGTCACTCTGGTGACACAACTCACTCTCACTGTGGTCAATCGCAACACAACTCACTCTCACTGTTGTCACTGGCAACACAACTCACTCTCAGTGTGGTCACTGTCAACACAACTCACTCTCACTGTGGTTACTGGCAACTCAACTCACACAGTGGTAACTGGCAACACAACTCACTCTCACTGTGGTCACTCTGGCAACACAACTCACTCTCACTGTGGTCACTGGCAACAAAACTCACTGTGGTCACTGGCAACGCAACTCACTCTCACTGTGGTCACTCTGGCAACACAACTCACTCACTGTGGTCACTGGCAACACAACTGACTCTCACTGTGGTCACTGGCAACACAACTCACTCTCACTCTGGTCACTGTCAACACAACTCACTCTCACTGTGGTCACTGGCAACACAACTCTTACTGTGGTCACTGGAAACACAACACACTCACTGTGGTCACTGGCAACACATCTCACTCACTGTGGTCACTGGCATCTCATCTCACACACTGTGTTAACTGGCAACACAACTCACTCTCACTGTGGTCACTGGCAACACAACTCACTCTCTCTGTGGTCACTCTGGTAACACAACTCACTCTCACTGTGGTCAATCGCAACACAATTCACTCTCACTGTTGTCACTGGCAACACAACTCACTCTCAGTGTGGTCACTGTCAACACAACTCACTCTCACTGTGGTTACTGGCAACTCAACTCACACAGTGGTAACTGGCAACACAACTCACTCTCACTGTGGTCACTCTGGCAACACAACTCACTCTCACTGTGGTCGCTGGCAACAAAACTCACTCTCACTGTGGTCACTGGCAACGCAACTCACTCTCACTGTGGTCACTCTGGCAACACAACTCACTCACTGTGGTCACTGGCAACACAACTCACTCTCACTGTGGTCACTGGCAACACAACTCACTCTCACTCTGGTCACTGTCAACACAACTCACTCTCACTGTGGTCACTGGCAACACAACTCTTACTGTGGTCACTGGAAACACAACACACTCACTGTGGTCACTGGAAACACATCTCACTCACTGTGGTCACTGGCATCTCATCTCACACACTGTGTTAACTAGCAACACAACTCACTCTCACTGTGGTCACTCTGGCAACACAACTCACTCACTGTGGTCACTGGAACGCAACTCACTCTGACTGTGGTCATTGGCTACGCAACTCACTCTCACTGTGGTCATTCTGGCAACACAACTCACTCACTGTGGTCACTGGCAACACAACTCTTACTGTGGTCACTGGAAACACAACACACTCACTGTGGTCACTGGCAACACATCTCACTCACTTTGGTCACTGGCAACTCATCTCACACACTGTGTTAACTGGCAACACAACTCACTCTCAGTGTGGCCACTGTTAACACAACTCACTCTCACTGTGGTCACTGGCAACACCACACAGTCACTGTGGTCACTGGCAACACAGCTCACTCTCACTGTGGTCACTGGCAACACAACTCTCTCTCACTGTCGTCACTGGCAACGCAACTCACTCTCACTGTGGTCACTCTGGCAACACAACTCAATCACTGTGGTCACTGGCAACACAATTCACTCTCACTGTGGTCACTGGGAACACAACTCACTCTCACTCTGGTCACTGGTAAC